CCCCACCCATGAGCACATCCATCCCAAAAGCAGCGTTTTGTTTTCAAGGCAAGGCAAAGAGCTGGATCCAGCTCTCTCTCTGAAGCAATAATTTCTCTGGAGTTTAGCAAGGGGTCAAAAATATAAAGGCATTGCTCTTCATCTGCATTTTTTTTTTTTTTTTGAATTTGAGAGAGAGTCCAAGTGCCAGAAAGAGATCATATGGGATTTTTCTGGCTCTGGTCTCAGAGTATCCTGAAGGCTGTTGAGTAATTCCCCAGCCTTCTGTGCTGGATCTCTCTTGCCCATCTTCCTTCTTGCTCAGGGTGCAGGTACCACCCTGCTCCAGGAAAGCTTTTCAGGAGCAGAAAGCCCCTGAGTCTGGAAAAGGGAGCCAAGACGTGATGCAACATTTCCTAAAGCCACCATTTAAAGCTGAGATTGGCACCATTTTTAGTGGGCTGTGGAAGTGGTTTTAGAGTCTGGGAGCAGCTGGATGAACACAAGGAGGTGTTTCAGGCCAGCCTTTACTGTGGTTCAGCTTTTAGGCTGCCCTTTCTGGAATCAGTTGTTGGACTTGATCTGTGCGAGTCCCTTCCAGCTCAGGGTATTCCATGATTCTGTGATTTGTACAAAAAAGCAGTAGGAATGATCTGAACTTCAAAACTACTTGTGTGTGTATGGGATTGTGTGGGGATTTGATTTTAATACAGGTTTTATGTTAATACATGGTAAGAATGTGTTAGTAATGGGTGATGCTAGCACTCTATATAATATAAAGTGCTGCTAGCACTTCTAACCTGTGGAGATTTTCCCATGCTTATGTTAAAACAATATTGCTTTATTTTCCCCATCCTTGGAGCATTTAATCCATTCCCCTAAGTTTTTGCCTACCCCTTTCATTTCACCTCACCACCGGCATCTAACCAGTTTGGCCCATGGCACAGAATATTCCAGCATGGCTGGGTGCCAGCTTTGGTGCAGAAGAGCCACATGGATCACCCAGTGTTGTTGTCTCACTTCAGCTCATTGTCTGCCTTTAATCCTGAGCCGATTAATCTGCCCGAGGAGGAGGAGCAGAGGACCCTGAGCTGAATGGAAAGAGTCCTGGCTGGTGGTGGGGGGAGCTGGAACACTGGGAAGCAGGAGCAGATGCACCCTGTGAGCCTGTGTATAATGACAGAGAGCCAAACCTCTGTACGGCTCTCCTGGAAGAGAAAGGGTGGGGTGGAATGGGAAGGGTAATTAAAAGTCTGGATGATTAGGGCTGGAGCATGTGTGTCCACAGGTGCTCAAATCCCACTGCCCTCAGAGGGAGGTTAGAGCTTGGATTATCTGGGAGAAAGACAGACTGTCCAGGGATTTTGGAATCCTGTCAGTGTTTAACAAGGAAAAAAATAAGAATATTTGTAATGTACAAAATAGTTTTTCTCATTTTTTTTAAAGACATTCCTTTGCTGGTGTAACAGCCTTGTTTGCCCTCAGCACTGGGCTGCTGCATTTTGGGTTCTGCAGCTCAAAAGGTTAAAAGATAATCTACAGAATGTTTTCTGCTCTTAGCTGAGAAACCATTGTAACCTGGAGCTTGGCTTTGCCCTGTGCCTTGCTGAGACTGTGTTAAATAAAGAGAAACATTAGGATTAGGCCTGAATTTCACTAAGATTCAGGGAGCCACTACAAGGCCTACAAAGCTATTTAATTTCTTCTTTGAAGATTTCAGCACCAATGAAGTGATTCTTACATTATCTTTTCCTTTTTTTTTTTTTAATTTTTATTTTTTTTCCTCTCCATTTGGTTTCTGGTTTTGGAACAAGCTTTGAGTTTAAAAATGAGCTGGCAACTTCCTTCTCTGACCTCAAGCAGCTGAATTCATTTGCACAGAGAAAAAAAAAAAATCAACAACAGGAAGAAAACATCTGGGCTGGGAAGCACACCAGATCAAGGCTGTGGTGGTGAAGGGAATAAAGGGGTGACAACAGCCTGTGTCACAGCAGTTTGCCCTAAGTGTGCCCTGCAGGTGTGGGGCCACCCAGGGATTGAACATTCCCGAGGTGATGGAAGGACAGATGGGGCAGTGGGATGGGATTCCCAGGCAGAAGGAGGACTGTGGGGTCAGGACAGCACTGCTTTTCCCAGGGGAAGCCTCCTGGGAATTCTCCAGGAGGGAGATTTGCTGTGAGCTGGGGTAGGTCAGCCCTTGTGTGCATGGTCCTGGGACAGATCATCCCCAGGGGTCATCCTGGAAGCCTGGGGCTGTGGGAACATTGTGGGATGGAGCCTCCATCAGCTTCTGGTGCTGCTCTGGAGCACAGGGACCTGAAAGAAAAAGCTTTTTGTTTTACTCTGAGCTCTTGAGCTGTGCCTGAGGGCTGGAAGAAGCTTCTCTGAGCTGAATTTCCTGGCCATCTCAACAGGCAGAAGCAGTTTCAGAGCTCAGTCCTTTCAAGAGCAGATAAAGAGTCAACCTTGACTACTCTCCTTTCCTGGATCTGGGCTCCTTTTTACTTCAGTGGTCTCCCCCAAAACCCTGCCCTCGCATGGGGGGATGTAGGCCATGATCTTGCAATGTGTTTGGCCCCTCCCATTGCACAGAAGATGGGAGAATCAAGCAGACTGCTGTTTGTGTCTGAATTGCCTCCAGACCAGGATTTGGTATTACATTCACTTTCTCCATGCCTTTTGTGCAGCAGCCGCTGCTCCTGCTTGCTCTGCTGTGGCAGCATAGCTTCCATCCTGCCCCAGGGTCAGGTACAGGACCTCAGCTCTTGGGCCCCTCTCCAGGAATGTCCCTGTCACCATGACTGTCTCTTGGTGTGCTCTGCTGGGTCCTTTCCCTGAGTCTCTTCAGACCAGTTCAGTCCCAGGGTGCAAAGGCTGTTGCTTACCTTGCACTCTCAGGCTGCTTTCCTCCTGAGTTCTTCCATGTGGATTTGGGGAAGTGGTTGTTCGCTGATGTTTACCTGGCAGAGCTGCTGTGGAGAAAAAGTGTGCTGTGTTTTGAAGGGGCTAGAGAATGATTTGGCTGTCAGGGAGCTCAGGGGAACTGCCACAGGATATATTGCCAACCCCTGGAGATGACTTCCCTGCACACTTGCACCAGCACTTCCATGCCTGACTCTTGTTGCAGCCAGCTGTGGTGTGGCTTTGTCAGAGCTGATAGAGCTCCCTTACCCCTGCTTCCACTGCCTCCAAAAAACCCTATTAGTCATCCTTGGGCAGTGCATGGAGTGAGGTGGTGGTAAAGCTCCGATCCCTGACAACACAGTCATTCCTGGATTCTCCAGAGCATTTCCAGGGGCTCAGTGCTGGTCTTTGAGAACTCTGTGTTAACCCTTTGGTGCCTTCAGGCACAATTTCCCAATGCCCACAAGCCATCCATCATCTTGGGGCTGACAGAGCTCTGAGGGCACTTTTAGAGATTAAATGGACCTTTTTTTGGCTTTTTAATTAGACATTTGTGTAAACCTGGGCTTTCTCCACATCCCATTGGAAAAGCAAAGGGAATGTTACTTTTCTCCTTATTACTCATTCTACTTAAGCTAAAGATTAACTTTGACAGAGTGACAGGGGCTCTGTACTGGCCAAAAAACAATTCAGGCTGGAAGTTAGCGGAAGGTTTCTGACCACTGGGGTGGAGCAGATCATGGAACAGAAATTGGATAATTTTTTTAAAAACAGGTCAGTTTATTGTCTGCTTATATTTGGGCTGCTTTTCGCAATGGTGGTGAAAAGCACATCCTTGGTGTGGTGCCAGACAGGAGGCAAATTTCCAAGTTTTCACTTGGCATGGATTTCTGTGATGGGGACGGAGGGAACAGAGAGACCCCCAGCCACTCCTGAAGTGCCAAACTGATGGAAGCTGCAGCAGCCAAGGCAGTAAGGATGTGCATATCGTGTCCTTGCCTTGGTGTGATGCTTCCAGGGGAAAAGCCTTTTGGAAAGCACAAATATTCTAAGCTGTCTCCTTTTGCAAAGGGGAGAGGGTGGGCAGAGTTTTGCAGCAGGGATGGTTGTTTTGGGGGAGCTCTTGGCGTTCTGCAGTGTGTGCACAGCTCAGGCAGCTGAGAGGTCTCTGCTGACTTTGGTGACTGAGGCTCGTGGCTGCTCAGGAGAGCTGGGCTGCCTTTCCCAGTGTGAATCTGGTTCTTCAGACAGTGTAAAACCAGTAAATATTGTGTCTGTGTGGGGGTAAAGCAAAGCTTTGTTCTGCCCTGAGGGTGAGTGGAACCCACAGGCTCTGTCTCTCATCCCAGCTGTGACTTAGAGCAGCCCTGATCATCACCATAAAGTTAAAAAAAATAGTGCTGGGATTTCTCTGCTGATAATTGAAGCAACTTTTTTTTTTTTTCTGTGTGTTTTAATGTAGAATCAAGCCGGGCCCTCTCCTCCTCCCCAGCAGTGCTTCCCAGTTTGTGACCCCTGAAATCCCACAGGCTTTTCCTACTCTTTCAGTTCAGTACTGGAGATGCTGACTTGCTTTTTTTTTCATTTTTTAATTTCATTGTGTCTTTTGAAGATCTCAGAGACTCCATGTGCTCAAATAAAAACCAGGAACACTGAACCTTCAGATCCAGGTCCCTTTCATCACCCATTGAGGCTGTCCTGCAGCTGCAGCTGCCTGTGAATCCAGTTGCTGCTGGATTTGGTGTGAGGATCAAACTGAGCAGGTGCCAGAGGCAGCAGGACCTTCTCAGTGTCAGAGAGATCTCTCCAACCACAAATTGTTGGTCCTGCTTCCTCCAGTCCTCTGGAAGGTGTTCCTGGTTGGGATATATAGCACCAACAGTTGTAGTAAACAGGTTGTAGTAACAACTAATTTTCCTTCAGCTGCTGCTCCATAATCGACTTCTGTGGCTGCATTCTCTAGAAACCACTGAGAAATTGCAAACTTAGAAATATTTTAAGGGAAAAGAGGATGCCTTGATTTTGCATCAGCCTTTGCACAGCTGTGCTTGTTGTCCTGGGCACCCAGGAAAGCTTCTGCACCAGCAATTTACTGGTGCTTTGGTTGTCATTCCCAGTTGACCACGTGGTTCCTGAGCCTGGGACCAGTTTGCTGACGGCGTTCGACCAGTGGCGAGAGTGGGCAGACAGCAAATCCTGCTGTGACTACTCCCTGCACGTGGATATCACTGAGTGGCATAAAGGTGTCCAGGAGGAGATGGAAGCTCTGGTTAAAGATCATGGTAAGCTCAGGGAAGCCTTGTCCCTCCTTGTTTTTCAGGATCCCCTATTATTTAAGGCTGTCTCTCATGCAGTATTTTACCTTTATATCCCAATAAAGCTGTTTTAGGCCCATTCTGGCTCCTTGAGAAGGTTTGGGCAGTTGAGATTGCAGAGGGCTCAGGGGTTGGGGCACACTGGTGTTGCTGCACTGATTTTCCAGAGGTGGATCTCCTGCTTTTCCCATGCAGAGCAGCTCCTGTGTCCAGTGAAGGTCCTTGGGGTTCATCAGTGCGATGACACCTGCAGCCATTAAAGTGCTGTAAACAAGGGAAATAGGAGCCCCAGGAGGACCAATCCAGCTCTGGATGCTAAAAGTGAAGAGCTGAGTAAAAAGATCTCATAGGTTTTCCCCCTCTTTATTTCCTTGGCATTTCATTCTCAGGCTGGAGTAATTTTCCATCCTGTTTGTAGTTTCAAAACCCAGCATTTTATGCCGTAATGGGAGCTTCCCACACGTGCTGGGTGACAGCTGTTACTGGTTCTAAAGGCTGGAGAGGAAAAGCCAGCTTAGGATCAGTCAGGGTCAGTTTGGACACATCACAGACACAGATTTCCCATTGTTCTCCCTGGAGGGTGAGGGGGATCAGCCATGCAGGCCCAGTCTCTGCTTTTGTGTGAAATGCATTTTTGCCTTTATTTTGTTACTCAACCTCCTACAGTGAATTCATGGAATTATTGCTGGGGGCTGATTTAGGGATTGTAGTCCATGGCTTCACCTGCAGTGTGCTGTCTTTCCCCCAGGTGTGAATTCCTTCTTGGTGTACATGGCTTTCAAAGATCGCTTTCAGCTCAGTGATTCTCAGGTAGGAAGGAAGGCTTTGTGTTTAATTTGTCGCAAATTAGTGTTTAAATTCGATATCCTGGGATCTGACACTCTCTCCTGGTTCCAATCTTTATGTGTGTAACAGTACCTAAGGTTGGCAACAGCACCCATACCTCTGGTGTGAAGATTATATTTTTAATTAAAACCCAACCAACAGCAAACCCTGAAAGGCTTGGCTGAGGGAAGCAATGGTAAAACTCTCATTTTGAGAGGTCAGAGGCTTTTTCCCAGCTCCTTTGGGGTAGAAGCAGTAGCAGTTCTATGAATTGCTGCTTTATGCCTCTGCACAGGGCAGAGCACAGAGATCTCTGGGCTAATTATAATTATTCTGTTTAGAAACTAGAACTGATCCTAGTCCAGAGGTGGTTTTTTGGTGGTAGAATCACTGGGACCTTAGAAAGAAATTAATTGCCCTCCTGTTTGCTGTTCTGGTGGGCACATTTAGCTGTTCAGAGGGGCAGTTTATGTTTCTGAAGGTATGGGAGGAGAGGAATGCCTGGGAGTGTTGGTGTGTGAGTTATCTCTGAGGGCTCTGGAAACATTTTGATGAGGGAACATTGATGGCGCCAGTTGGGGGTTACTGGCCCTGTGCCCTCTCAGACTGGTTGCTGGAGTGGGAAATCACACTGCTCCTACCTCCAGATACTGGATTTCCATGGAGAACCTGCCCCCACCACTCAGATATAAGGGATGTTTTTCATGCCAGGCACCAGTAAATGAGACATCAAACAGGTACAACTCTGCAAGTTCTTTAAAATCATCCAGCTGTGGGGCTTGAGTTGTTGCTGTTTCTTCCTCCCGTACTCCAAACCTGCCACTGGAGAACCCCTCTTTGCCACATCAGCAGCACCCAACTGTAGAATTGAGAAATTCAGTGATAGGCATGAAAATGGTTTGCATCTCTCCAGCAAACCACATCTTATATTGCTTAGTGCTCCTATTTCTCTTTTCCCTTCTGCAAAATTCCGTTTTCCATGGGGGTCTGGGGTGTGGCCTTCCCAACAGGTGTGCTCCTGTTGTGATGTGTGTTATCTGTCCCCCAGATTTACGAGGTCCTAAGTGTGATCCGGGACATTGGTGCCACGGCCCAAGTGCATGCTGAGAACGGTGACATCATTGCTGAGGTATGGCCTGTTTGTTCTCTGAGTTACTGGCTTCAAATCCTGGGAGGGGTTTAAATTCTGACTCCTTCTTTGCAAACTGAGAGCCACCCAAGCTTTTGAGAGCATGGCATGGCTGTATCAAGGGTGTGAGTGGGGCTGTGCAGCAGTTTTTAACCCCTTTGATGCTGATAGAATAGGTTTTTGTGGCAGCTTACAGTTTGGGGTGGATATTGGGCATCTCTGCCTCTCTCCCCAGAAGTGAAAAGCTGGGTGTGACTGTCACTGTGTGCAACAAAATGTTCTGCAGGAAATAAGAAGAGGGGGAGTGGGAAGAGATGTAGCTTCATACAGTACATGGGGTGCTGATGTTTGGGGTCTGTTTATCCTTCATACAGCAGCAAGGGAGAAATGTTAATAATGTATTCAATTTAATCTTATCTCCAGCTCATTTTGTACACTGTGTCTCAAGCACCCAGAGGATTTCTGTGTTCTTTGGCTGGGCAAGAGCCCACCCCAGTCCTTGAGCCCAGTTGCAGGATGATTTTTTCCATGAGTTATCATTTTGCCACATCTTAAAGATGATTTTATAGACACAAATGAGTGCTGAAAGTTGAGGGGCTATGAACCCAGTGTGAAGTGCATCCAAATAAAAGGTTTCCTTGACCTCCTGAGAACAAATCAGCAAGGTTTTGTGAGCTCTGGTTATTCTCAGCAAGGGGAGTTGGACAGGACTTTCTTGCAGGGCCCTTGTGCAAAGCCCCATGTGATTTTTAGGCAGCACAGATGCTCACAATCTCACTCATGCCCCTTTCCAATAGCTGTGTGTGCTGAAAGAATAATTCCCTCTTGCTTTAAATCTCATCCCTGCTCTTTTTTCTTCTCTGCCTTAGGAGCAGCAAAGGATCCTGGAGCTGGGGATCACAGGCCCTGAAGGGCATGTGTTGAGCAGACCTGAAGAGGTGAGAACTCCCCTGCCTATGCATTTACCCCTCACCCCAATTTGTAACATGGCTGCATTGCCATTAAGTACTTCATGTTGGGATGAATGTGGCTGGAAACAAGATTTTTCTGCATTTGGGGTTATGATGGTGGAATTCTGCTACTGTCCTTTCTAGGTGTAGTGTCTTGGGCTTCTCTCTTGGTCATTATTTTGTCAGACTTCCAGTGAATTAACAGAATTTTTTAATATATGCCTAAATCCTGACATTGTTTTTGGTACTTCCATAGCTTCTATTACTGTGCTACTTTATATTTTGATGAAATTTTACCAATGGGGTGGGGGTTTTTACAGCAATGGATTAAGTGGTTTGCTGACAGCACAGAAAATATGTACCAGAGAGGGGAGGTCATGCTCAGGCCTTAGCACAGCACTTTAATATAGTTACCCTTCATATTTCCCCATGGATTTCTCCAGGGGTGAGCACTCCAATCCTTCTAAGCCTTTGAAATAAATCCCAGAAGTTTTAAAGAGCCTTAAAACTTTGCCTTTGAGGTTGGTTCCCATTGCATTCTTCACTCACAGTGCTTCACTGTCTCTGAGCTGGACACCTCACCATGGCATTCCAGGTTTGTGGGGTTTATCTGTTCTGTACAAGCAGCTCTTTTTGTTCCTCCAAGATCATGGGGCTTTGTTGCCTTCCAGATGTGGCAGCTGGAGCTGGGGCTGTGAGATCATCCACACATGCCCCTCATGCTCACTCTCCATTTCCTCCCCTGGATTCCGACAAGCATCCAGAGGCAGTTCAGTAGGAACATAAATCATTCTGTTGCCTGGGGAAAAAAAAAAAAAAAGCTCCACTTGTAAGTGAATCCTCACAGAACACGGAATCTGTGTATGGCTCCCAGAGCTGGAATGTTTTGCTTCCTGAAATTGTGAGCAAACACTTCGCACTGAGCTTTCCAGTCACTCATCCAATTTGTGGTTTTTTAACGTAATTTTTGGCCTGCATCAGGGGAGTGGGAACAGATGCTGGTGTGGCACTTCAGAGAGTTCCATTTGTGTTGTTTTCAAAGGAACGCTGCTCTTACCTTAAAGGATCTGGACATCAAACCAGCCAAGTTGTGTCTGGCTGTTTAAGAGCTCATCCTTCATGGAGAAGGAACTTTAAAGTACGAGTTGTGTGGTTCCCAGGCGTGGATGGATTGTTAATCTGTGCAGGACTGTGCTCTGCCTCAGTGCAGGGAGGAAAAAGGCAGCCTGAGGACACGTGGCTGCCGCAGATGAGGCTCAGTGAAGCCTCTCCCTGATGTCACATGGGGCAGCCTCTGTGCAGCTGAACTCAGCTGTGCCCTGCCCAGGCTTGGAAAGCATTTGGTCCAACATTCTCTGCCTTGAAAGTCATAGGAAACAGAGCAGGAAACTATGTCATTTGGTTCCCTCCTCCCCCTTTCTGCAGCATGGGAGTGACTCTGTGCTTTTAAAAAGATCCAGCTCCTCTTGGGCTGGCTGGTGATAGAGGCCAGATTCCAGGGGTGGCAGCAGATCCCTAATTCCTGTTGACTTTAGTGAAGTGGATGTTTGTTGTATCTCTCTGGAGTGCTTTTGACACTAGAATTGGCTTTTCCTGCTGTCCTTTAGGGAATGCAAAGCCCGTCCTAAGGATGGTTGGCATCTGATTGGACAGCTCCTTCATTCAGACCTCCATCTACAGCAAACCAGCAGGAGCTGCTGAGCAACTCTAAAACATTTATTAACTCAAAACTCCTACTCATTTCAGGTAGAATACATCAGAGTGAAGCATTCAGGAGCTGGCCTCGTGCACTTGTGTCTTCGAGTGCACACATCTCAATTCCCAGGCTGGCAGGAGGCTCAAATTGAGGCTGAAATTTCACTGCTGACTCGGGGGTTTAGCTTTGCTCACCACAGTGTTCAGCACGGTATTCCAGCCAGAAGATGGGGCCTGAGTTAAGACAGCACCATCCCAAGTCAGCCTCACCCATCACTTTCTGGAAAGCTCGCCCCCTCACAGCTCAGTTCATTCTGTGATGACTGTTCAGAGCAATCCATCATTTTTTTGTTTTTATTTCAGCCACAAAAATGCTGGAAGCACAAGCAGTCAAAATGCTCCAGGAAGGGACTGTCTTTTGTTTTGTTTTTTTTGTTTTTTTTTTTTTTTCCAAGAGAACTGCTGTGCTAGGGTTTCTAATGCATCCTGGTAATTGCAAACATTCCCCTTTGGACTACTTGTTGGGTTGTTGTTATATGCCTGTCACCATAGCATCTGGGCACAAGGCAGGAATTCAGCAGCCTTGTTCAGAAAATATTCTCCTGCTGCTTCACAGTTGCTCAAATGCCTTCTGCCCAGAAGTCTGGGGGTGTGTGTTGTTTTATCCCTGCTTTGCCTGCAGGGAAACTGAGGCACGGGGTGGAAATGTGGTTCCCAAGGCTGCAGAGGCAGAGCTGTGCACAGACTTGCTCTAGTGGGGAGTTTGCAAAGGGAGGCCATGGCTTGGAAGCTCTGGCCTGACTGAGTCCTCCCCTTGTCTCTCAGAAGGGACAACTGGGCTTTTCTTGGATCTTCTTTTCGCCCTTTGTGAGTGCTGCTGGCTGTGACACTTTGGGTCCAACATCCTGGAACAAAACTCTCCCTCACAGCCTTTGCCATATGCCTGGGGCATCTGGGAGAGAAAATACCCCCTTGTGAGCATCCCCTTCCTGGGGCTGTAACCCTTTGGGTCCCAGAGAGCACCCTGCTGACTCTGGGGGGCTGGTTTGCTATAAAAACTCCTGGCTGTTGTTTTCCTGGAGCATTCTGGCAGCAAACAGGGCATGGGTGCAGGTGGTGGCTTTGCTGGCATGAGCAGAGCTGTTCAGGACACTTGGACATCATCCTGGCCATGGTTCCCTAAGCTGGTGGTTCTTTTCCTCCAAGCAGTGTTTAGAGCCATCAATCACAGAATCTCAGAGTGGTTTGAGTTGGAAAGGACCTCAAAGCCCACTCAGTCCCACTCCTGCCATGGGCAAGGACACCTTCCACTATTCCAGGATGCTCCAAGCCCCATCCAGCCTGGCCCTGGGCACTTCCAGGAATGAGACACAACCTGTCTGGGCAATGTATTCTGGGACAGGTGATGATGATCTGTGGCACTTGGGCTGTGATCAGTCACTGCAGAGCAGATTTTCACAAGTTCTGAGTGTGTGCCAGTGCCACCAGGGTCCATGGGAGAGGTTCTGGGAGCCTCTTGCATTGGGAAATCTGATGGGATTTCCAGATGCTCTGGGTTTGTTTCCTCTGTTGTTCACTTGGAAAATGTCTGTGGCATTGCTGGCAGCAGGCACAGTGAGCATCACCCAGCTGTTCAATCTGCCATCTGGATCCTTTGATTAGGATGTGTGATCCATAAAATCAGAGCGATGCCCACCATCCTGAGGCTGCAGTTACAACGTGACCCTCAGTTTGGCTGAGGTTAATTCTCTGTACACATGCAAGGAAAAGCAGTTGATTTATGGGGTGGTTCACACTCTTCTCAGATCCCAAGCCAGAGATTGTAGTGGAGGGTACAATTTAGGAGGCTTGTTTGCAAACGTGGTTTACCAGAGTATGTGGTGCAGCATCTCCCTTCTGCGTGGGCTGGAGCAGGAGCAGTTCTGTTGAGTCAACATTTAGTTCCTTATTTTTGTCTAGGCTAAAGAAGGGGCTTAATCATTCTGACCCTGAGCACCTGGAGTGTTGTTTTAGTTCAGGCAGAGAGGCTCTGAAGCAGCCTGGGAGAAAAAGTGCTAATGAGAGGGGACTGCAACTTGATGTCATTTAATTGCTGTGATTACACTGTGCCTTTTCAGGCTCAGAGGTGGGAAATGCCTTGTCACTCCTTGTTTTCTGGGAGAGCAGGGTCTGTGACTTCTGAGGATGAGTGGGGTGCTGTTGGGTGTCCCTGACCTGCTGCTGCCTCTGTTCCTCAGGTGGAGGCAGAGGCTGTGAACCGGGCAATAACCATTGCCAACCAGACCAACTGCCCCCTGTACATCACCAAGGTGATGAGCAAAAGTGCTGCTGATGTCATTGCTCAAGCCAGGAAAAAGGGTAAGTTATTTCCTCCTTAGCTCATGCACTTCAGCTCCTGCCAACATCAGCTTCATCCCTACAGGAAAGTTTCTTTTTACTTTCCCATACACAAGGATTCAGTGGTTGGGTCACAGCCAGGAGCTGCTTGTTCTGCTCAGTCCTGAACTTGTCTATTCACACTCATCGTCCCCTACCAAGCCATGTGCCTTCATGATATCACAGAGTCATTCCATGCTCTCTCCATATAGTGAATTCCCCTGGAGACTGCAGCTGGGTCCTCCTTCCAGCTGCTGTGGTTTTCCCTTGGTGCTTTCTGCCACGCTTCCTGGGGTCAGCAGTGATTCCTGATGGAGTTCTTGACTCACAAGCCCTGTTGTATTTAGCTGGAGTAGCCAAAGAGGCCCACCAGTTCCAGCTGCCTGCTGTGCTTCTTGCTTGTGGAATAGATGCTTTCCATGTGGTGTAACTCATAGCCTGACATCCGTGCAGGGATGGGAACCAGCAGGCTAGGTTAGGTTTGGGAATTGTGACAGACTCTGATAACTCTGCTTGGGGATGCTGCAAGAAGCAAGACTCAGACCTGCTGCTCATGTCTCTCCTCTCTGACTGAGGCTTGTGAGGGAGCTGAGCTACTCTGAAGGATGCAGGAGCTTCCCCCAAGCCCTGCCCCTGTTGCCTGGCCCTCAAGGAGTCAGGATTGCCCACTGAGTGAGTGCTGTCTGCTGCTTTATCCTGTGACTGAACCTTCCACTTCTATTTAAAGCTTCTTAGGTTGGGTGAGTAACCAGGAGGGATGATTTACCCCCTTCTTTCCTCACAAGGCTTGGATTTAATTTTCTGCAGCCTAAATAAGCCTGGATGGGTATATAAATTACATCACTTTCCATCTGGGTGTTTGGTGCGAGAGGAGCTGATTTCCAGCAAACGGATTGGTGTTTGTGCATCAGCTCAGGAGTATTTTGGTCCCATGATTCCTGTAAAAGGAATTGGTGAGGAGGACTGATTTTCAAGGCTGTCTGTGAAAGCAGCTCAAGCCGTTTGGAGTAAATCTTTCTTTCCCAGCTCCATCAGAGAGAATCATCCTGAAGGAAGATACACTGACCTAGCAGTGTGGCTGCATGCTGCATCCCCCCAGGAAAGAACTTGGTGTCATAGTGCAGTTGTATCCTGAGAGCCAGGGAAGTCTCTCTTTTCTAGATAAAATATTGAAGGCATGTGCCCCACAAAGGTGGAGCATCAATAGAAACACCTTCTTGCTACACTCAGTGTCCTGAGACCACCAGTTGCAAGAGGACTGGAGCTTTGGGAGCACACACCTGGATCCTGACAGAAAGCCATAAAACACAGCTTGGCTTGGGTGGATGTTACCCTGCCTGTTAAAGGTGCTGGGATTGTCCACAGGGATCACTTCACTCAGCCTCCTGAGTGAGCCAAAACATGCAGTTTTCATTCAAAATGCGTTTTCTCCTTATAAAGAGAATTTGGGGTATAAATGGTGCCCTATCCTCTGTTTGGTTTTTCAAATAACTCAGGTTAAATGCTGTGCAGTAACCAAGAGGGGCCACGTGCACTGGTCTTGCCCTCCCAAACAACAGAGGAAATGTAACCGAAGACTATTCAAGGCAAAAACAATCAATCCAAGGATTGATTTGCTAAATGGCAAAGAACAGTTATTTAAAGCTAGATGTTCCCAGTGGCTTTTGTATGGAGGAGATTCCCTGCAGACTCTGTCGCTGGCAGATCTGGGACCCAAAGACATCACTCCCTGCAGAACAATATCCCCAATGTGCTGGACCACAAGAGGCCTCCCATTAATAGACAGCGTGTGTTTGGCCTTGCTTTGATTTCAGAGCCCTGTTTGTAGCCAGTGATGTCAGGGAGCTTCTTCCTCTGCTCCTGGAAACTCTAGCAAAGTCTGTTCCCCGACCTCCTGTGTCAGCAGGGTCCTGGGAGCAGCATGGAGCCAGTTAATCATCGTCCTGCCTCAGCTAGTGGGCTCTTTCCCAGCTGTCTTGAGACCCCAGAGACATAACAGTAGCTCTGGCAATATAGTGAAAGAAATATTCTGTCTTTTCACTCTGGTGAGGTGTGAGACCCTGCTGACCAGCTCTGGTTGCCCCTCTGCCCATCTTTCCTGACTGAAGTGTTTAGGGTTGCCATCTCAGCTGCCCACATCATTGGTAGGCAGATCCAAACCCATGAAGTGCTTGGGGAGGCAGGTGGGTGGGCACTGAGCAGATTTTGGCAAGGTTGCATTTGGTAAGCAGATTCCTGTGACTGCCAGCTCGTGCTGCTTTTGAAGTTTCAGCATCTGCTTGGTGTGCAGATGGTGCTGGTACGTTCCAGCTTGCAGAGTATCCTGGCCTTAAGGATCTGCTCTTCTTTCATGTGGTTCCAAAAATGTTAACGAGGAGGAAGGATGCACTGGTGGTGAGTGCACTGGACAATCAGGAGATGCAGTTCCATTTCCCAGTTCTGCCACAGATTTGCTGTGTGCCTTGGGGAGATCACAGAGTTTCCTTGCATTGTGTTTGTGAACCAGGAACTCTGATATTTCCCCTGTGATGGGTTTTCTTTGTATGCAGAAAAACTTTACTGCTAGGAGTTTTCTCCCACCTGGTCTGTACTCCAAGAAACCTGGCCTTGTTAGAAGGTCTTTAATTCATACTATAATTTATAAAAACTTCTAAAAATTCTTTTTCTTGCACATCTCTTCTAGATCAGACTGAATCTCCTCATTCCCTTACAATTGCTCCCAGCTTCTTCCACAAAGTTCTTGGCTCAGGATAAATAAATAATAAAATGAATATAAACAATAAAACAAATCTTTACAGTAACCATTTCAAGGACAATTAATTAGTGCCAACCTCTGCAGTTGTGTAAAGGATTGTGCACATTTTGCTGCTCTCAGCTCTGGTCAGTAGCAATATCTTTATTTAACGCTTCAGAGGAAGTACCAGGCAGCCCTGCAGCACGTGTCCTTTCCCAGGAGGATGCTTTCTGCCAGGAGCCAAGCTGGAAGTGCACATTCCTTGGTGTTCACAGAAGAGTTATGTGTGTCCCTGTCCCACAGGCACCGTGGTGTATGGAGAGCCCATCACAGCCAGCCTGGGCACCGATGGATCCCATTACTGGAGCAAGAACTGGGCAAAGGCAGCAGCTTTTGTTACATCCCCACCACTGAGTCCTGACCCGACCACTCCTGATTTTCTCAACTCACTACTGTCCTGGTGAGTAGAGCTTTCTGTGTTCAAACAACACGTGATTCATCATGAGGAAATGGGTGATAAAATAAGGGATGTTGCTGCCAGCAAGCAAAAAGCTGTTTTACCTTCAGGAGCATTCCTGTGACAGTAAAATATCTTGAATACCTTTTGTTTTTCTTCCAGTGGTGACCTCCAAGTGACCGGCAGTGCCCACTGCACCTTCAACACTGCTCAGAAAGCTGTTGGGAAGGACAACTTCACCCTGATCCCTGAAGGAACCAATGGCACTGAGGAGAGGATGTCCATCATCTGGGATAAGGCTGTGGTAGGTCACACCTGTCATGGGTTTACATTTTCAGCTGGACATTCGGAGTGGAAGGAGCTGCAGGAATCTGTTACTTTCTTGTCATGGTCCTTCCACTTGGTGTTTTTACCCCTGTGGAGATCCTTGGGAATCTGCTGCACTGTCAGCTCTTAGCTGGCTCATGCAGTGACTCCTGTGGTGTCCCCCCAGGTGACTGGCAAGATGGACGAGAACCAGTTTGTGGCTGTGACCAGCACAAACGCGGCCAAAATCTTCAACCTGTATCCGCGGAAGGGCCGCATCGCCGTGGGTTCTGATGCTGACCTGGTGATCTGGGATCCTGACAGCGTCAAGACAATCTCTGCCAAGACTCACAACATAGTAAGGATGTTCCCTACCATTCCCTACTTCCTTTCCTCCTCTCTTCCTCAGTACCAGGCTATGCTGTCAGCAACAGGAGCTTGTGACAACTCAGGGCTCATTTTCCCTGTGCCTGAAGCCCTCTCTGGTCTCAGTCTGGAGCTCACTTGCGTGAGCAGGAGGAGTCCATCTGAAATCACATGGATTCCCTCTGGAGCAGGGAGCAGGTCTGCTCTTCCTGAGTGTTGGGTACATAGATCTGAGCTCACAGAAAGCTCTTTAAATCCTCTAAAATATGCAAAGGCCTCTTAGGACAACATGTTGTTTATGACATCCAGGCTTGCCAGTGGTGGAAATGGGAACTGCCCCTTTTCACTGAAGTGTTGTCAGCTCATGGACACTTTTTCTGGAAATCTGGCCTAGATCCAGGGTCTGAGTGGATTTATACCACCCACTGATCTGGCACATGTGTGTGGAGTCAGGATTTTCCTGGTGGTCACCCCCAAATTAGTTGGCAAAGGGCAGTACCCAAACCAACCAGACCTTCCCCTTAGGCTCTTCTGCAGCTTGTGGCTGTCACTTCTGCCATGGTGCCACTCTTAGGGACACTTCTGCTGAATCCCATGCCTTACACCTGGCCCCTGCAGTTATCAAGCTGTCTCAGCCTGTGGGAATCTGCAGAATGGTGCCAGTGCCGGGGCCTGGCTAGAGTCTCCCTGTGACATTCAAGCTGTGTCTCAGAGAAAGCAGCCACTGTTTGCATTTGTTGACAACTTGTTTTGCTGCTGACCATGAACCTATGGAATCTTTCCCTGGAAAAAAAAACCTACTTGTTCTTTTTTCCTATGAATACTTTCATTCACTCTGGAGCTGAAGGAGCAAAATTTTCTTCCACACTTGGATCCCCAGGCACATTCACAAGGAAACATCATTTTTTTAAAGGTTTGGTTCACTTCCCTGTGACTTAACTCTTTGTTAGAATTGGTCACAGATGGTTTTGCTTCATCTTGCCTCTGCTTAGACTTCTGACAGAGGAATTACAGGAGTCTGGTCACTTCAGTCGCCTTAGAGGTGCTTTCAGACTTCTTCCAATCTGGAGAGAAATTACTTAAGAAGAGGGAACCCAGGGACTTACTGCTTTTAGGTGCCAGAATTCATGGTCTGAACCTGGGCTTGTAGTTATGAATAGCTCAGAGAGCTGGAAGTAGTTTGGGTGGAGTGCTTGAAAGTTATTTCTATTTAGTGGCTGTTGTCTTTGGGAAATGAACTGGGCTCTTTCAGTTTCCTGACACAGAACTCATAGACATTCTCTTTTGTGAATATGCCCAAGTGCAGCCAGGATTGGATTGGTTCTGTGATTTTGCCATGGATCTGGGCAAGGCAAAGGAGAACCAGCTCCATTCAGAAGTATTTTTGTCTGCTGAGAGCTGGAGATCCCCCAAAACCCTGGCAGTGTGTAAGAGACCCTAGCATTCAGCTGTGGCCAAAGGCTGCCCCCTTAAGCTGTGCCAAGAGCATTGAGGAGGAAGGGCTCTCATTCCCAAGAGTTTGAAAAGCTGAGCAATCACAGCTTGTTTGCTTACAAACACATCTCTGACCTCATCCCCTGTCATTGCTTCGCCTGTTGTAGTACCTGGCGTCACACCTGAAGCTACATCAGGAGGAATTTCTCCATGGAAAGGGTAATTAGACATTGGAAGGGGCTGCCCAGGGAGGTTTGGAGTCCCTATCCCTGGAGGTGTCCAAGGAATGCAGCCTGGACATGGCACTTAGTGCTCCGGGCCAGTGACAAGGTGGGAATCAGGCACAGCTTGGACTCAGTGACCTTGGAGCTCTTTTCCAACCTTATTGATTCTGAAATTCTGTAATTTTTTGGGTCTCACGATGCCTTGTGTTAGAGGAGAAACTGATACAAGTGATGCCCTTGGAGTCTGGATATCCTGGTTTGGCCAAGCCGAAGACAAAAGGCCCCTTGACAGTCAGGCACAGGGACACCCTCTGATTATGTGGCCTTGGACGATTGCTACTTTTTGAAATGTTCTAGCAACTCACAGATATTTTCCAAGAATTCGCACTGCTGTTGCCACTCTCTGGCAAGGAAACATCAGGAGCTGGGGAGGGAGGTGGTGTTGTTCTTGGAAGCAGCCTAATCCATAAACTCCTGACCCAGCCTCCTCCTTTATACCACCCCAGTTTTTTTCAGGCTGGACCTGGTTCAGACTCAGTTTAACCACTGGTCTGGCTAATTGCAAAGCTGCACTCAGGCCTGCCCGTACTTATAACACACTTCAAGGGCAAACTCCATCATTAACTCGGTAAAAAAGACCTGTGTTTGACTCAGAGATGATCACTAGAGTAACAGTCCCCAAATTACATGGTTGCAGTGCATCTCATTCCAGGATGTTTCACATTTGCAGTGATTTCTTTCAAACTTGCCTTTTTTCCATGGTGAGATGTTTCCAATCCAGTTAATTGAGGATGAGTAATCCCATTAAATTAAAATAAGATTATCCTGGTCCCTGACCCATCAACCAAACCACTGGTTTGAAATACAGATTTTTCACAATTATTCTTTTTAGTAGAAAACTCACATAAAGCTTTCTGTGGCTCCTAAATCTGCCCCCAGCTCAATAGAGATAGGTGCCTAAATATATTTAAATAGGGAGGCTCTCATTTTTTCTCTTCCTGCAGCTGTGGCTGCTCCATCCCTGGAAGTGTCCAAGGCCAGGTTGGACAGAGCTTGGAGCAACTGGATCTAGTGGAAAGTGTCCCAACCCGTGGCAGGGGGTGGAATGGGATGAACTTATCCCTCACAGCCCAAACCATTCTGGGATTCTTTATGAATCTTATTTCAATGGAAATTTTGCATTAATAAACCCCTAAACTTAGACTGATAAGAGCCTTTATTAAATCACAACAAATACAGCTCAGGTAAACACTGTTGAGTTTGCTTCCATCTGCCCTTAAAATTTTGGCAATTAGCATGGCTGGTGATTGCTAATTAAAGCCCAGCCGGCTCTGCTGAGTGAGTATGTTTGCCTTATGTGCTGTTTTTGCTCATTGCAGTCTCTGGAGTACAATATCTTCGAGGGCATGGAGTGCCGTGGATCTCCCCTGGTGGTGATCAGCCAGGGCAAGATTGTGCTGGAGGATGGCAATCTCCACGTCACTGAGGGCTCTGGGAGGTACATCCCCAGGAAACCCTTCCCTGACTTCGTTTACAAGCGCATCAAAGCCAGGAGCAGGGTGAGTGTCAATGGTTGGCTGCACATTTGTTCTCTCCCTCTGACAACCCCGAGTTAAAGTGGCTGGAAAACAGATGCTGTCCCCTGGCTCAGGCCACACTGCTGTTCCCTGGATGAGAGCCACATTTGTCTCATTCCTCTTTCATTTTTGCTGTTCACTCAAGTCATTACAGGAATATACTTTGCGTTGAGCTTGGGTTTTCTGCAGGTTTTAATTTTCCTCTGTCTGAGGACAGCCGAACTGAAAATGTGTCCAGGAACCCTCGAATTTGGCCGTGTCAAACTACCCAGAACCGACCAGGTTTCTCCTGTCACAGAGGTCCCAGGAGAAGTTACCATTAGCATTTATATATCAAAGCTCTCAGCAGCAATTTAGAATTGTAATTTATTGTTACAGATATGTTATGCTGCTTTCCCTTTTGGCAGATACGATCAGATGCTCTTGTCTGGTGACTAGTGAGTCACAGGCACAGCCTACAACTGCTGAAAAGGAACAATGTTCTATTTTTAAGAGGCTAAAATAGTTGGAAAGTGTTTCTGTAAAATGCACACATTCAAAACTGAATCGGTCTTTTGATATGCCTGAATTTGCCTGACAGGGGAGATGACACTGAACTCAGCTGCTGAGAATTGAAGGAGTTTAGTTATAGGTGAAATCATTTCTAGGGAGAAATTATTTTGCTGTTTGAAGTGTTGCCCTCTCCTGGACAACTCCTGAGCTGTGCTGGTTCTGGTGGCCGCAAATGATCCTCCCACTCCTTGAAAATCATCTTTCTTTGATTGTTCTTTTGAAGACATTGCAAGTAATCAAAATTACAACCCGGCATAATTTAGCCCCATGGAGAACAGATCCCTGGTTTCTGCTGTGTCCTCCCACAGAAATACATGTCTGACCTATAAATCCAATTGGGCAGCATCTCAACTGGAATAATTGCATTTATCCCAACCTGCAGCTCCAGGGCTGGCTATTGAAGCCAGCCTGGCTCCTCTGGGCTGCCCTGCTGGTCTCAGCACTGCTTGGCTTTTTGGGAATGAGTAATAAGGTGCATTTGAGACCTGTCAGAAGCCTTTAATCCAGTGGCAGGTAGGTTGGGATCATTAAAGGACAGCACCTTTGGGGCAGGGGACAGACTGGCTGGAGCCACAGCACATTCCACGTCACATACTAATTAGTAGGCATCTTATCCTGCACAAAAATCTAGAGCCAAAATAGGAATGTATGCTGTTCCCAATTCACAGTACTGCACAGCAAGGATGATCCAAAAGTGGGGTTTTGGGAGTGCAGAGCAGCCAAGTGCATATTGCCAAGGAGCCTTGGGGTGCTCTTGGACTCAGAGCACCTCAATTCTCCATGGTGGAAGGTGTTGAGCTGCACAAACATTGGTTTTAGCTTGTAGGAGAATAGTTGTTTGCTGCAAAACTGTTTGGGTTGGACAGAGACACAGACATGTTTTATATAGATAGATTTATATAGATATGGATATAAAATAGGAATAGATGTAGATGCAATACAGATATAGATAGAAACATATAGATATGATGTAATACAGATATAAAATAGATATAATACAGATATAGAGCTAGGTATTAAATAGAAATACACATCATATAGATGTAGGTGTAATACAGATATAAATATGTTACAGATATAAACATATATAGATATAGATATGGAGATGATATAGATGTAAAATAGATATAGACAAAATCTAGTTATAGATACAAAATAAATATAGATAGAGAGCAGCTCCCCAGGGATCAGTATAGAGGAGACGCTGTGTGCTTTCAAATTCTCTTACCAACAACCAATCCCAAAATGTGTGCCATTGGCTGGGCCACATCTGGGCAGCTGTTGGGCTGTGTTGTGGCTGTGTTTTAAGGTTGTGTTGCACTCTCTCCCTGCAGCTGGCTGAGCTGCGGGGGGTGCCCCGAGGCCTCTACGATGGCCCAGTCTGCGAGGTGTCGGTGACACCCAAAACGGTCACACCAGCGTCCTCAGCCAAGACCTCTCCTGCCAAACAGCAGGCACCGCCCGTGAGGAACCTGCACCAGTCTGGGTTCAGCTTGTCTGGTATGTGGTTTTGGGAATGATTTATTGCTGAGTGGTTTATTGCACTGAAATCATGGCTGGTTTGTGCTCCCATGCTCTGAGTTCATTCTGCTGGGATAGGGATGGAATCAGAGAGGCTGTGGGGGGGCTTTTAGCTGGGAGCTTTTCCCTTTAGGGAGGAAGAAGAGTAGTACAGGAGCTGTCCTAAATTCCTGCTTCTTCTCATGATGTCACACGAATGCTGAACACTCCAGTGTGTTCTGGGCTGAGTCCTCAGCTGGCTGTCTAGAGAGGGCAGATCATAGAATCCTGGAATAATTTGGGTGGGAAGAGACCTTAAAGCTCATTCAGTCCCACCCCCTGCCATGGGCAGGGACATCTTCCACTACCCCAGGTTTCTCCAAGCTGCATCCAGCCTAGCCTTTGACACTCCCAGGGATGAAGCAGCCACAGCTCCTCTGTGAATTTCACCCCAGCCCTCCCCACCCTCACAGGGAGGAATTTCTTCCCAATATCTCATCTAACTCTGCCCTCCTTCAGCTTAAAACCATTCCAACTGTGTTTAGAAATGGGAATTGTCTGGTTTTAAGAGGCTGTAGCAAAAAACCCGTTTTTTAAAGATGACACAAACTTCAAGAGAACTTTGCCAGCTGAGAGCAGCTGTGGATCTGGGATGTGGAAGATTTGATTTCTCAGCCGATGTTCCAGTTGCAAGAAGGGGAGACTACAGAAAGAGATAGGAAAGCTGGCTAAGGGATAATCATACATCCAGCTCTTACCTGTGCAGGGCTGGGTGCTTCAGGCACTGAGGGCAGAAATATTATTAATGCAGAACAGGTTTCAGCAGAATTAAGGCAGTGTGGGCCAGTGAAGGCTTTTCCTCCAAAGACAGAATCACAGAATGGTTTAGGCTGGAAAAGCCTTCTAAGAGCAAATCCAACCATTAAGGCAGCATCAAAGTGCCACACCCACATGGATTTTAAACCGGCAGAGTTGGTGACTCCTCCTCTCTCTCCCGCAGGGGCACAGATCGATGACAACATCCCACGCCGCACGACCCAGCGCATTGTGGCCCCGCCGGGTGGCCGTGCCAACATCACCAGCTTGGGCTAAGGACCGAACCCTCCTGTGCCCACCGGGTACACCCTGGGGGGACTGGGGCACCTGGAGACCCTTTTTGATTCTTTTAGAGCCTGTGACAGTTACTGCGGGCACCCAGAGTGGGGAGGGGCTGAAGTAAAAGCACCTCTTTCAGTCCCCTCAGGTTCCTTCCTCATCTTCACCAACCCCTCGCACTTCCCCCCCCCACCCCAGCCCTTTACACATTTAAAGAAATAAACCGTGTTTTGACACCTCTGACATGAAAGAGTAAATGTAAAGAGGGTATTTGAGATACGTGGTCTCTGTCCTATTCAGCATCTTTCTTTTAGTAAAGGAAGGATAAAGTGAATTTCCCAGGAGCTGCCTTCAAGACACACACACACACAAAAAAAAAGAAAGAAAAAAAAATAAATGCATAAAAAAATCTTTTTTTTTTTTAATGTCAAGCAGAAGAGTATTTCAAGGGTTTTAAACTGGATATTCTGTAGGGTTCTGTGTTCCAACAGAATTAGCTAGGCAAGCACGAAGGGACAGGAATCCCAGCCTGTCTATGGCCATTCTCCACCACCAGCGCTGAGATCACTAGATGCTGCCAGGAGAGAGAAACAGGACCCAGCACTAGCAATGGCAGAGAACATCACCCCAGCCAGTGGGTGAGCCAGAATCCTTGGGGACTTCCGTTCTGTTCAGTTGGTTTTTCCTTGGTTTCATTTTTCTTCTGGATTTTGCTGCAAATTAGGTCCTTGAGGAAACTTTTTTTTTTTAATGTTTGTGCGTGTGTTTTCAATATGTTTGAATCATTGTGTTTACGAAGCCTTATCTGAGAACTGGGAATCTCCCTGTTCTTCCCAAACCTCATCCAAATCACAGACTCCCGCCAGTGTTACTGCCACTGCCACCCTGGTACTTCAGGTGTCCCTTAGTTGCATTTTCCAGCCATTTCTTGTCACATAGCTGCAGTAAGGGCATGGAGCAGGTCCATAGGATCTTCAGTCCATCAGGTCTTGAGCTGGTGCAAACAGAGGAGCTGGACACCATCTGAATTGCTAGGATGGAGTATCTGGAAGAGTTTGTAGCAGTTTTTCTTCTGTCCCTGAAGGTGGATACAGACAGGCAGAGAGCTGTGGGCAAAGAGCAACACGTTGCCTGAAAGGTTTTTGTAGCAGAAACTCCCTCCCTGGCCATCAAGGAAAGGTTATTTAAAGCTTTGAGGGCTTATCTTTAGCTCTCAAAGGGCAGTCAGGGAGTGTGTGCTGAGCACCTGTGGCAATTCCATTCCAGGCCCAGCTGCTGTAACTGGGAGCTGGCTGGGTCCCCAGCAGCTGAGAATCTCTTGTACGAATGTCACAGCTACCCAGCCCTGCAGAAGTCCTGCACATCCCCTTGGGAAGGCCTGGCTGTTCCCCACCCTGCCTCACATGCCTAGGATTTGAGACACCATCAGTGGTCCTTAAAGGAATGCCTCAGCTTTGGGGCAGCCAGCAGGGTCTGGGTGTTTAACCACCCTCTGGGATTAAAGGTCTGGTAGCTCTGGGACAGGGAGGCTTATTGGTTTTGGGACATTGGAGGATAAACCAGTGCCATGAGATCCCCACTTAGGCATAGCTGGAGGGCTCAGCAGTCCCAAGGACTTGTTTTAGCACAGAGAGCTTTTATTACCACAGCGTTGCCTCCACTGTTTGCCTGCCCTGGGACTTGGCTGCATCTTGTGCTCCCTCTTCTCTTTGTGCTTTGCCACCTCCATCAACCTTGTTTGTCCGTAGCTGTATTTTCTTAAATGGTGTTTACAGGTTCTTTTAGGAAGAAAACCTATATATATATATGAAGGCTTTCAAGATATGAGTACCAAATTTGTTGTTATGAGGTATCAATGCTGGGACTTGCAAAGTTTCTGGAAGCTACTTAGCTACCTAAACCCTCCCAGCTGCAGCACCTAAACTCTTTAGGCCCCTTTGAACACGAAAGTTAAGAAAAACTTTGCCATATTTCTCCATGCATTTTGCATTTAGATTCAACTCCTGGGTCTTCTAGTTTTGCATAAAGAGTTTGCACTTTTTTTTGTTAAGTAATCCATGAACTTAATATATATATTGCAGCTATTTTCATTTTTAAATATTTTTCTTTGTCACCTGTATGTTAAAATCAATTTGAACGAGTTGGGGAGAAAAAAAAAAGAATTGTAGATCCGTTTCAATTCTACGAAACACTTGCGGCTCTTCAGTATTCACTTAAGTCTTCCTTTTTTTTTCCTTCACTGACTCATAATAACTTGTTAAAATTTAATTTGTTCTTGAAAAGGAAAGAAAAAAATCACAAAAAAAAGTTTTTTGCAGGCTATGTAAGCATGTTTTTTCTGTGAGAGCTCGTCCGCTTTGTGTCTGTTTAATGAATGTCATATGTAAATGCTAAAAAAAAAAAGACAATGACTTAATGAATTAATTAATTAACCGCAGTGACTTGAAGCTCTAAAAATAATAAAAGAAAAAAGTAGGATTTAATACTAGCTGGATTTAACCCTTGGATTTGTGATTGTGAACCATGAGTGGAGGAGCTGTAAGTGCTAAAGCTGATCATGTGTGTAGACAAAGAGGAGTACTGATATTTGACCATTGTTTCAATGGCAAAAACACCCCCCCATCCCAACCCCAAGTCTTGTGTTTTATTCCTTAAGAACTCTGTGTTATATTACCATGGGAACTCCTAATAAAGACAAAATGTTGTTGTTTCAGTAGGTGCACCTGTGTCTTGAGGCGCTGCGTGTTGTGTGTCACTGTGTTCTGGGCTGTTGCCTTCAGCATGGACAAACAGCCCTGAAAACCAGGCTGGGGTGGGCTGATGTGGAGATGTGCAGGGGCAGAGCTGGAGAGGAACTCCCATGGTGATGGTAAAGATGAATTGATGGGCCACAGAGTAATTTTCTCTGGAGAAAGCAAGTTGTGACTGAGGGCACTTTGTTTAAAACAGCATTTGGCAAAGCAGAGACAGTTGCCTGAAAAATCCTGGCTCTGCATTGCATGGATCACTGGTGGAATGTGAGCAAAAGCCCCTAAAGGTATTGGCATAGCTCTCAGCCCCCCAGTGTGGATCTGCTTGGACCCTCTGCCACCCAAGGAATGGGGAAAAAAATCACAGTCGTAAATAGGAGCCACAGGCAGCAGGTGAGTGGGGAGAGTTGGAGCTGGGAACAACTCCAGTGTAACTTGGGGTGGTGGTGCTTGGGAGTTACAGGAAAAACACCAGTGGAACTTGGGGCGGTGGTGGTTGGATGTCACAGGGACAAGCATCCCTGTCAGCTGCTCAGAATGTTGGATGATGCATTCCTACAATCACCAACTCAGCCCTCTGGGGGATCTTCCCCCAAATCTGAGCACAGCTGAAGTTTGCGACTGTCTTTGTGAGGAGTTCTAGCTCTTGTTCCTCATCCGAGCAAACCCAAATGTTGGGGTGCTCTGTGAAATGAATTGAACTTCCTCCACACAGCTTTAAACCTGGCACCCCACAGAGTGGCTTTTCCTTATTATCTTCTGTGAAGGGGTCAATGGTCATCCCCTGGTAAAGAGACCTCTGGTTAACATGAGGATCCTGGCTCTGGCACCAGTGACATGCTGTTATTTGGCTACTGGCATAATAAATAAAATATTAGTATCTGTGCAATCAGGTCCCATGGAGCAGGGTTGGTAGGTAGCTGTATATAAGATTTATCAGCTAATCCCAACCATAATATCCCAGTGAAAGATGCATTCAGCCTGGAGCACTGATACTTGGTTAACACACACCTGCAGAGTGTCCATTTGGTTTTATTCTATCATTATTTTTTTCCTCCAGCACCTGAATTGGAACAGAAGGAACCTCTTCCTGAGGAAATAAATGTCAGGGACTCAGGGAAGCTATTGGAACCTGGCAGTGTAGAGAAGGTTTTGAGGTCAGGAAGAATTGCCAACAGCCAGATCTAAATGCAACATGTGCTGTGGGACTGAGGCAGGGAGAAAGCTCAGGAGGCTATTTGGGTCAGTGGGGCAGCGCTGGTTTGGTGCTGCACAGGAGCACAGGAATAGTTGTATTTGGTCAGCCCCTTAATCCAGGTAATTCCTGATCTGGCAGCCCACAGCGCATTAATAGGTGCTAATTTCGTTCTCTGCCTGCCCATTGTGTAAGGCCCAAATTAGATTTAATCTGACCTTAACATCAGTGGAGTGTTCTGTGGCTGAAAGGAGAAGAAATAAAGTAGGTGATGAATGTGACTGACCTGGAACAGGAACTGTCAGTTATCAGAGATGGGGACAATGCATCCTGCTTTATCCCTTGGTGGCAGAGCAATAAATGTCACTGTACTATAGAAGCTTTAGGATCCGTTTTGCTCAGCGCCATCAGGTGGCAGCAGGACGTGGGGAAAGGTAAAGGTCCAGCTCCCTCAAGGCATATGAATCATCTCGGGAATGATCTAGGATGTAATAAATGTGGAACATGCACAGGGCTTATAATTACTGTGATGTGATACACACATGCATCCTGTCGGTTATATTAATATATTGGAGGGTATTTCAATGTTAAAGATATATTAATGACCTAAATGTGTTCTCTTCATGTTAAAGCCTCACAGGACACTTGTCTCAAATCAGATAGAGAGCAAGTTATAAACTTTACCCATCAATTTACTACATCAAAGAACACCCAGACTTTCAAAAGATCTGGAGAAGGACTTTTGACAAGGCCCTGGAGTGCCAGGACTGGCTTCCCACTGCCACAGGGTAGGATAGATGGAATATTGGGAAGCAAATCCTCCCTGTGAGGGTGGTGAGGGGCTGGGATGGAATTTCCAGAGAAGCTGTGGTTGCCCCATCCCTGCAAGTGTCCAAGATTGTTGTGTTGCAGGATTCATTTGGTGTGTTCTGTTACCCCCTAAAGCTATAATGGTTCGGTCCTGGGACCCGCCTTCCCCCTCCCCTGGAACCTCTCCCTCTGAGAGTGTCAATTTGTTCTCTCCTCCCCTGTTTCCCTGGTTACCTTCTGTCAATCCCTCCCCAAGTTCCTGTCCATCACCCACTGTCTCCTTCCCATATTCCAGAAAGTTCTCCTTTCTTCGGTGGGTGATTGGATCGGGAACAAGGGTCCCTCCCTGTCACATTCCCTACTGGCTAGCCGGCATGTTTCTCATGAGTTTGTTCACTCCCCAGTTTCTCCCTCATTGGTCAATGTGTCGGGTTCCCCCCCCCTTTATAAGCTGCTGTATTCCTGCCTCGTGGTCCCTGCTCGGCTGGTGCACTGGAGTAATAAAAGGCTCTGGATTTTACCCCCGGGAAGGGTCCCTCTCTTCTTTCTTCTACTTCGCCTGCCTGCTGCTCCCTGCTGCCCCTTGCTGAGGCGCTCCCGGGACGCCCCGGCGCATCTAGGGAGTGCCCCCCCGGCTGTCGGCTGCCGTGCCTTCAGCTCAGCCGGCGAGACCTCCTCCCTGCCTGAGGGAGTAGAGAAACTCGGACAGCAGCACAGCACAAGATCAGGCTGGACAGGGCTTGGAGCAACCTGCGTCATGGGCAGGTGTCCTTGCCCATGGCAAGGGGTGGGACAAAGTTCCCTTCATTAAAGAGATAAAGTAAGAAATCAGAGGAAATTATTTTTTCTCTTCCATAACCCAGGCCAGAGGAGGTGCACTCTGCTAATTCCTGTGAACTGTGACTTCCAGCTCTGGCACTCTGGCTGTGAATTTACCACTCTGTGCGTGAATGTGTTGTTCTTTCCACAAGCATTTTTTTGACCATTAACCACTAAAACTTGGCGAGTGCCTTCCAGTGTTGACTTAAGAAGCCTCAAATGGAAGGAAATCCCTTGGTAATTTATTCCATGGATTAAACATCTTCATGGTTCATTTTTCTCTGCTTCTGATCTGAACTGGCCTGCTTTGTATCTCTTGCCATCAGTTCTTGCTCTGCATTCTCACAATAAAGGAAGACCCCCCTGAGATGTGTGGGTCTGTTCTCTGGGATCTGTTGAAAGCTGGGGGCTCGTGTCTGGAGCCAGCCTATCCCCCCCTCCTGGGGCTGTGTTCCATGGAATGATGAGAACAACCAGTATCAGAGAACCAGGGACTGGGTTTGGTTTGGAAGGAACCTCAAAACTCACCCAATCCCACCCTCTGCCATGGGCAAGGACACCTACCACTACACCTACCCAGGCTGCTCAAACATGGCCTTGGACACTTGCAGGGATCCAGGGGCAGCCACAACTTCCCTGGGAAATCCATCCTCGCCCCTCACTATCCTCACAGGGAAAAATTTCTTCCTAAAATCCCACCTAACCCTGCCCTCTGGCAGTGGGAAGCCATTCCCTGTGTCCTTTCCCTCCATGTCTTGTCCCCAGTCCCTCTCCATCTCTCCTGGAGCCCCTTCAGGCCATGGAAGGGGCTCTGAGCTCTCCCTGGAGCCTTCTCCTCTTCAGGTGAACACCCCCATCTCTCCCAGCCTGGCTCCAGAGCAGAGAGGAATCTGCTCATTAAATCCACCCGGTATTTGCTCCTCTCATTTCCACAGGAGGGCACCAGATACCCGTGTTTAAATCGAGTTTTTATTCCTTTCCTGAGGCTCTCGTTTTCCCTCCGGTTCGCATCACTTGCTTCCCAAAGCACAGAGGCCTTGGCATTTTTATATGTGGCTTTTCAACACCAAAACCCGCCATATTTCACATATTATCATGGATTAGATAAATGCTGTTTCATGCACATCTGAAATAATCTCTTTCACCTCCCCCCCCCCCCCCCCCTCCGACCAGCAT